AGCTCGGGTGGGATGTGTTACCACACCCCCCATATAGTCCAGACATAGCACCATCAGAATACCATTTGTTTGGGTTTCTGCAAAATTTCTTGAATGGAAAATCGTTCAATTCGCTGGAGGACTGCAAAAAGCACCTGTGTGGGTTTTTCGATTTTAAGTCTATGAAAGAGGGAACTGGAACCTACAGGAAGATGGCGAAGCCTTACTATACAGAATGGAGGATGTATTGTTCAATCAATGGATTTCTTCTTCTAGTTTTCATTCAAAGATGAATCAAAAATCGGCGGGAACTATTCGGACAACCCAATATTTTCTCGTACAACTGCAGTAAAACTTATTGCAGTAGTACAAATCGCGTCATTGAAGGGGTTCTGAAAAAAGCTCATGAGAGTGAAAGCTCTGAATTGATAAGCTTTTGGGGAGGTCTTGAATGAAACACATGCTCACACTGCAATAGCAACGATTAGGGATACATCGAATGAGTCTCTACACAAAAAATTTTCTACCGTATTTGACAGAATGTCGGTAATTTTTTAATGATGATGAAATTTTTGTGATTTTTCCTAGATCTTGCTCAGTCCCCGTTTGACTTACCTTTTTGGCTTTGTTCACTTTACGCTGGTAAATTTCGCTCATTGGATCGGTGTGCATCAAGTCTGAATTGAACCATTGGATGCATTTCAAACCGTCTCCGGAACCGGAGTATTGATTTGAACTCTCTTGAAAATAGCAATAGTATCAGAGAATTACCTTGGACGAAGACGGTCTCTTCATTCTGACTGATCAGCTGGCTTTCGAGAACCAGCGTTTCAAACCTCTGAAATTTTTTGATTGCAGTAAAGCCTTCGTACAGTTTCTTTAAAATCCATATTGCAGCTTAAGACCTGTATGAAAAAGTCGAAGGTGAGTATGTTCTCGTCGGGGAGTTGAGTGGTAAGTAACCGAATCGTGTTGATTATAATGGGGCGATCCGCTATGCATGAGTCGAATTGGGATTCAAAGCAGAAGCACATCATCTGAATACATGGACACTGTATATCGGGTACCAGCTTACAATCAATGATCAACAAAGATCTTCCAGAGCTCTTTCACGCAGTCATTCCAAGCTCTCAGTGGATGTCTACAGAAAACCTCCAGCTCGCGTTGTATTCTCTGGCATGACCTGAAGGTATCCCCTGAAGTGAAGCTTACCTTCAGTGTCTGAGATGGCAGAGCTCTGAGAGCAATTATGGCTCGCTGAGCTACAGTAGGATTTGGATCGTGAAGTGATGTGACAAAGTGATAGAACAGAGCAGAGAGAGCTGTTTGAAGCACCTGAAACTAAGTGATTTTTCACGGGAGCACTATTACGGACCTTTTCTGCTTATGACTGCAAAGAACTGCTTTTCCTCTCTTGGTTCTTATGAAAGAATTTTATCGTGGGCGGAACCCATCCAGGCAAGGCTTTCGAAACCTCGCAGACACCTACTGGAACTATTGCAGTTCTTTGCAATGCAATACCAAATTGAACATATATTACAGAATTTCACCTTATTTCCTTTCACCGGCGCCATCTTGGTCATATGGGCCATCACGTAAGCTCTGCCCACTGAAATGATGACGTATGAGAATAAGTAAATAGCCTCAGTGGTTAAATACATTAGTGACAAACGGGGAAAGTTCCCATAGTAGTTACAGTGTACAGGGGTGCCCAAAAATGAGACACTCTCACTGCTCGGCTTGTACCACCAATGTAATCAAACTTTATTAAATTCTGACTGAATATTACCACCCGCAAAATCAACAACACACTATACTCGATCACGGGATTCTTCAATGGCCTTCCGCACGAACGAAATCGAAAGTTTTTGCCGATGCGTCGTCTGAGGTCGGCGAGATCGGCAACTTCTTGACCATCGCAGACAATCCTGTTGAGTTCAGCCCACACCCTGTAATCCTCCAGATCCTAAGCGACGATGCGCAGGAATCTGTCCGTGAGCGACTCGATCGAGAAAGTTGCGTATCTGCTTGTTGCCGACCGATATCCCATAAGTCGTCTTGAGCGCGTCCGCAATGGCAGACGGCTTCATATTTTGATGCCGATATAGGAACCACACGAGTTCCTGCTTCCTTTCATCAAGCAACATTCTTAGTACAATATACGCAATCACATTCTTCTGCTGCTTCAATCGGTGCGACGTATTCCGCCTTGGATTAGGCCCCATGCATAGTGCCTCTTTTTTGGGCACCCCTGACTTTTGGCATTGACAAAGAAGTGATAAGATCATCGTGACCTGCGCCTCAAAAAAACAAAGTAGTTCAGCCCACTGACCTGCATCAAACCGTATTTTCCAATCAGGACTCGTGAAGTCCTTGTTAATGACCCGCCAAAACGCTTCTTCCCCAGATGGAAAAGATATGCTGTGCAACAGCAATAGAGATGCCAGTTCGCCGACCTTGAAAAGAACCTATTTGAGAGGATTTGAGAGGATCATCATTCTCACACTCACCTGTACGAAGTCAGACCTAAGTCTGACCCAGAGTTTTGGCACCATCATGCTCTCCTGAAAGCGAAGTATTTGGAACATCAAGACTATGCACTCGATAGTGCAGATCAGCACTTTGATTTTTTTTGAATCATTGTACTTGGAGGTTCTATGACTTCGTTAAAAGTAGCGAATACCTGTATCCATATGAGGAAGCCACGATGTTCTCTCCGAGAATTGCTTAACGATCCACAATGAAGGCAGAGGAGCTTCAGTGTATGCATGATGAAGTTCTCCACATCCGGATCTTCAGCATACTCCAGGTTCTCCAAAGAAATCGAGTTATCTTGACTTTACTTATTCTAGTTATTTTGCAAATTTTTCATCTCTTACTTTGTTCTAGGACATGGCAAAGTCTGATGGAGAGATTACGGGGTAAAGCAATTATTCCGTGCTAAATATTGCTAGAATCTTAAAAGGACTTTACTTTTTTATTCCATTATGACAAAATTAGCGGCAAAATTTAATTTTAAAAGCCAAGAAAAGTCAGTTTCAGTACAAATTAATACAGTGACGATGGACTACATACCATCAGCAGTGCGTGGATCATCTTAAGTTGTGGAGGCAGCTGATCAATAGAAAACCGAAATCGGCCAACAGAGGTCGTCCAGAAGTCGTCCGGTGGGATTTTAGGCAACTGCTGAGTGGTTGGCGTCGAGCCCTGAATGTTGAGAATATGCCCAAGGCTGCAGTTGGAAACACGCGTTCTAAACCTTATCAGCTGTACAAGACACAGCATTGGTGAAACACTTTTTCTTGTGTTGAACTTTTTCCTGGGTGGGGACTGAAAAGATTCAAAGTAAAGCTCAAGTAACTAGGGTTCGTAAAACGGCAAGGAAAACTGCCACATCGCCTACTGAAGTCAACTACTTAAGGATACGGTTCACGATGAAAATGGTTTTTGAGCAATCCCCCCCCCCCCTAACAGGATGAATATGTGACCACCAAAAATGGCGCATGTAACATTATTGGGTCGAAAAACACCTAGATTGGGCTTGCTGACTGCTCAAAGATTGTTTTTGCCGCATGCCACACCCGAAAGCGACCGTGTTATGAAAATCCTTTAAATTCGCATTCGCAATGAAGCACATATATCAATATTCGAACAGCTGATCAGAGAATTTGTGATGTGCCATATAACAAAAACGGAATAACAAAGTGGAAACATTGGAAGAGAAAAAGGAGAACGGATAATATGCAGATTCCAATAGCGCGAATTATACAGGGTGGGCCAAAATTATGATTACAGCGCGCGCTGACGTTCATTGCAAATTTTTTCTATGTTCATAACAATTCATTGAATTTCTTCTATT